GAATATGGATATAGGCCTCAGGATTTATTAAGAGAGATTCCTCGCCCTACCTCCTCACCCAGGAAAAGATATATTACTTAATTTATGTGAAAAATATCCATTTGTTTTTGTGTGTTTTTAAAGGTAAATTTCTGTTGCTATTTTAGTAAAACTCATTTAGCTGTATAGAAAAAAGTTAGTGATTAGCTAGAATTAATGAAGTTTGAATCCTACAATTATTTTAGGATTATTTTAAAGGCATGTACATTCTTGTTTTAGTATTTGCATGTTTTTAATTGTGGTAAAATATACAAAACACTGACTTCCCATTTCAGTCATTTTTAAGTGTATAATGGTGGCAGTAAGTAAATTCACATTTATGTGCACCCATCAGTATTGTCCATCTCCAGAACCTTACCATGATTCCATGCTGACTCTCTGTACCCACTGAACCGGAACTCCCCTCTTCTCCCTCCCTCCCTTTGGTCCCTGGTAACTACCATTCCACTTTCTGACTCTGTGAATGTAGCTACTCTAAGTACTACAAGTGGAATCATCAGCATTATTTGTCATTTTGTGACTGGTTTGCCTCAACATAGCCTAAAGACTTCAAGGTTTCCCTATATAGCATGTGACACGGTGTCCTTCTATCAAAGGTTTTAAAGGCCAGGTAATAACCCATTGTATGTATATACCACAGTTGCGTATTTGGGTATTTCTGTCCACCTTTTGATTATTGTGAATAATGTCAGTGTACATTGGGGTATAAATATGTTTGAGTCCTTGTTTTCAAGTCTTTTGTTTATATAACCTAGAAATGGAATTGTTGGATCCAATGCTAATTCTTTATTAATTTTTCTAGCAGCTACCATACTGTTTTCTGGAGCAGCTGCAGAAAACTGTTAACATTCCCAGAACAGTGCACAAGAATTCCAGTTTTTTCACACCCATGATAATTGCTTTCTGTTCTGTTTTCCTTCTCCTTCCCCCTTTTTTTAATAGCCATTTGAATGGATGTGAAAATGGTATCTCATTATATTTGCCTCATAATTAGTGATATGGAATATCTTTTTCCTGTGCTTATTAGTCATTTGTATGTCTTTGGAGAAATAAATATTCCTGTCTTTGCCCATTTAAAACATTTTTTTAAATTGAGCTTTGGGGGTTCTTTAAGATAGGGTCTGGGTATTAATCACGTATATGTCATTTGCAATTATTTTCTTCCATTGTGTGAATTGTGATATGTACTTGGTTAATAGTGCTGCTGATAAACAAAGTTCTTAATTTTGATGACAATTAGTTTGTTCTTGTGTTGACTACGATTTTGGTATTTTTACTAAGAAATCATTGCCAAATCCAATATATTGAAGCTTTTCCTCTAGTTTTTTTAAAGGGTTTTATAGTTTTTAGCAGTTGTGTTTAGATCTTTGATCCATTTGGAGTTATTTTTTGTATGAGATTTAGGTAGGCATCCAACTTGCTTCTTTCCATATGGCCATCTAGTTTTTCCCACCACCATTTGTTGAAAACACAGTCTTTTCCTGTTAGTCTTCCACTTTTATTAAATATCTTTTTTTTTTAATTTCTGAGCTCTTTATTCCATTCGTCAGTATGTCTCCCTGTATGCCAGAACCATACTGTTTGGATGTCTATAGCTTTGTAATAAAATTTGAAATCAGGAAATGAGTCCTCCAACTTTGTTTTCTTTCAGGATTATTTTGGTTATTTAAAGTCCCTTGAGATTCAATATGAATTTTAGGGTGGCCTTTTCAATTTCTACAAAAAGATCACCAGGATTTTAATAAGATTGCATTGAATTTGTAAATTGCTTTGGGTAGTATTGACATTAAGTCTTTAATACGTAAAGTCTTGCAACCCACCAATGGTTTTTTTCATTAATTTTTAGTGTACAAGTCTTCACCTTCTTGGTTAATTTAATACCTACATATTTTATTCTTTTTGATGGTATTGTAAATGGAAGTGTTTCCTTATTTCCCATTTTTTCATTGTTAGTAAATGATACTGTAACAGATTTTTGTGCATTGTCATATCATACTACTTTGCTGAATTTGTTTACTAATTCTAACATTTCTATTGTGGAGTAGGTTTTTCTACATGTAAGTATCATCTGTGAACATGGATAATTAATTACACTTTTTTCTAATTTGGGTGCCTTTAAATATATTTTTCTTGTCTAAATTGTCTAGAACTTCCTCTACAGTGTGTGAAGCAGTCATCCTTTTCTTATTTCTGATATTAGAGGAAAAATTTTAGCCTTATATCATCAAATACGGTGTCAACTGTAGGATTTTCATATATGGTATTTATTATGTTGAGGTAGTTTGCTTCTGTTCCTAATTGGTTGAATGTTTATATCATAAAAGGATATTGTGTTTTTTCATCATTAATCAAGATGATCATGTGGTTTATTCGTTCTGTTTATGTGGTGTATTGCATTGATTGATTTTAGTATGTTGAGTCATTTCTGCTTTCTAAGAATAAATCCTACTTGGTTATCACGTGTAATTAGTTTGCTAGTGTATTGTTGAGGATTTTTTCATCAGTGCTTATAAGAGGTATTGCTCTGAAGTTTTCTTGTGTCTTTTGGCTTTTGGTATCAAGACAATGCTGTCCTCTTAGGACTCCTCTCTAATTTTTGAAAGGTTTGGAAAATAATTGGTGTTCTTGAAATATTTGGTGGAATGCATCAATAAAGCTATATCTAAGGCTTTTCTTTGTCAGGAGACTGTTAATTACTAATTGAATATACTTACCAGTGACAGGTCTATTCATCTTTTCTTTTTAATCCAGTCTTGGTAGGTTTCATGTTTCTAGGAACTTACCCACTTTACCTAGGTCATCCATCTGTTGACATATAGTGTGTATAGTCTCATTCCTATAGAATTGATAGCGAAGTTCCTACTTTAATTTCTGATTTTAGTATGCTGAGTTGTCTCTTTTTATAGTCAGTCTAGCCTAAAGGTTTGTTAATTTTAATAATCTTTTTTAAGAATCAACTTTTCATTTTATTGTTTTTATTTATTTTTCTATTCTCTGTTTTATTTATCTCCTCTAAAGTTTATTATTTCCATCCTTCAGCTAGCTTTGGGTTTTCCCTTGGGACATCTTAATTGTAGCTTTATAAGTTTGATAATTGATGGTACGTGAGTGTTACACTTTATCAGTCAAGGTTGCCATGGTGATTCTTGTACCTTTGAATTTCTAAGAGAATTTTAGAATCATTTTGCCGGTCTCTACATACAATAAAAGAAAACCTGGCATTTCGATGGGGATTATGTTAAATATCTAGGCTAATTTGGGAAGAATTAATACCTTTATAAAATTGAAACTTCTGTAATTCTTCAAATGTAGATATTTTTTCAGCACATTTTAATTTTAATCAAGGCGGTTTTTGTTTTCTGTGTTTTGTTTCACATACCTAAAATACTAGCTTTATTCTCATTTTTTTTGCTAATGGGAATGATACATAGAAGGGAATTCTGGTATTGTAGGAAAGAATAGAGAATTGTTGGAGCCGAGATCTAAACAGAAAGGAAAGCAGAGTGTATGAGAAAGATGCTGAGGGGTTGATTGTCGTGCTGCAGGAATTTGAGGTGCTTCTCTTCTGATTGCTTTTACTTTGCCTGTGGAGTAGGTAGCAAAGTCATCAGCTGAGAGTGAAGAAGAGGGGTGACTTGTTGGAAATGTGAGCAGAGAGAATGTGGCACAAAATGATTGGGAAGTAGATAAATGGAAGATTGCTGGATGATATGCAAAGGGTGTTTGTGAACTGAAACAATTAATTAGCATGGATAGAGTGTTTACTTTTTTTCTCCTGCCATTTTTAGCTACATAGTAGCTAAAACTATTGTAGTAGAATTGTTCCATTAAATGGAGGCAGAGGGGTAAAGGTTCAGGGAGATGAGGTGTATGAAAATTAACTAGATAAGGAGCCAAGTAAGGAACACAAAGTGGGGTCATTGCTAATGAGAAGGTGGTAACCTGAAAATTACAGGACCTTGTGGAATTAAAGGATTGTGGCAATTAGGTTATGTAGTATGTAAGCTGAAAATATAGGGGGTGGAAGCTAAGAGATTGCATATAATAATTTAGTCTTACTATAAATAATGTACTAGCAGATTTTTGTTAGTTGTCTTGTCTTCATGTGACAAGTCCATGTACAGGACTAATAGGAAAAACAAATCCAGACTCCCTTTTCTAAGAAGACCTTTGGGGCTATACGTGTTTGAACTGTTTTTCTTTTCTTTATTGCTCTTGCCAGGGACTCACTAATTTTATTACACAGCTCTTCCAAGGAACTTGCTGTTGCTCTCTAGTGTATATTTTCTTTCATTACTCTTTGCTTTTCCCTTTATTTCATTTCTACCTTTGGGTTTCATTTGTTCTGTTTAGAACTCTTGGAGATGGTTATCTACAAATGGGCTTTTGACCTTTTTCTTCTCTTTAACCTCATACTCAGTTTTGAGTAGGAGACATATCTTCAGGGAGGTATTTTCTGACCCACAAATTTAGGTCTGATAAATGTTCTGGAGTCATACTCCCTGAGTTCATTTCCCAAGCTCTGCCTTCTTACCATGTGACCTTCAGCACGTGAACTTTTCTGTGTCTCAGTATCCCTATTTATAAAATGGACAAAATTATATATAACTCAATGGATTCTAGTTAGGATTGACTGTTCATATTTAGAAAAGTGCCTGGCACACAGAAAAAAACCTCACTAATGTTGGTTGTTATTGCTGCTATTATTGTGTGCATTGAGAAAACTTCAGACATTTTAATTGTGTTAGTTTAGCCAGAGCTAGAGGTACAAGAGATTCAGAAGATACTTTAAGAATAAAATCAGTAAGATTTCAACTTATTTACTAATCTTATGTACTCAGAAATTTTAACTAATGATGCTGTCTATGCACAGCATAAAAGCAGATTTGAAATTTGTGTAACATTTTGATGATTTTTCAAACTTACAGAACTAAAATCTTCTAATTTGTGTTTTCTTTTAGATCTTATAGAAAATTTCAGCTGTAGCCCTTGGACTAGAAGCTGAAATAGTAGAAGCTGTGTACGATGCATTAGGGTATTGAAGAAAATTAATTTTTGAATTAAATATTTGGAATATAAGGAAGGAAAGGTGACTGAAAATGGGGCGGAAGAAAATACAAATCACACGCATAATGGATGAAAGGAACCGGCAGGTAAATGAAAATTTTAATTATCTATTTAACTGATATGATTTTTTTTCAAAAAGAGTAGAAATGATGGAGTTTTTCTTAACTTTAATTTTGAGACTTTATCATTTTTAGTTCCAAACTAAATGAAAAATTCTGTAAAATTATGTCTTTTCATCATGTGTTTTAAAGAGACTTTTTATTATAAAATTATGTATGTTGTAGGTAGATGATATAGATATGCAGAAATAAAATTGCAGTCCTACAATTACTATCCATGGCATAGATTTTCCATGAGATATTTAGCCTTTGATACATTGATTATATGCTTGATTGTTAGTCCTATGCTGATTATTACTTTCAAATTGTCACCTGTTTTTATAATTCGGTAATATCTAAGTTAGCTGTAGTTATCAGTTATATATTTCTTGGTTGACCGAGAAATAATGAGAATAGTTTTTATACCACTTAGTATCACAAATATTTCTAAAACATTCATGAATGTTCAGCTTTAATTGATAAATTTGTACTACTGATGTCAATAAATCATTATTAATTCAGAATAATTATAATTATGCTGACATATGAAGAGACCAAAAGTTGTATTCAACATGATTAGCAAACTATGGCTCATAGGCTATAACTGTTTTTCTAAATAATGTTTTATTAGGATACTGCATGCCCATTCATTTCCATATTTTCTATGGCTGGTTTCAGATTACAACAAAAATGAATAGTTGACCACAGAGACTGTATGATTCATAGGCTTAAAATCTTTGTTCTCTGTCCATTTAAGAAAAAAGTTTGCTAACCCTGTGGTTTAGAGATAAGAAGGAAAAATAATTCCATAGAATATTGTAAATGAACTACTCTTCTCTGGGAAGGTTGCATATTAGGAGAAATTTGAAGAATAGCATCAGAAAGCTTACTGGAAACAAAACACTGAAGATGTGTTCTTCAAAATCAGAGTAGACACTTACCTAAGTATGGATATAATTGGAGACAAAACTCAGCTGAGCAGCTAGTGGGGAAGTTAGTGGGAACACTAAGGTGGCCCATAGACTGAAGTGAAGCCTTCTTTCAACTCAGATTGCTTAGCAAAGGTGTAAGACCTACACAGTCTGATACAATATGAAGACCAATAAAGTAGGGCAGATTGATAAAATACCTTTCCATCATCCCAAAGGAATGCAAGCAAACTTCCCTTCACAAATCTGAAGGTTGTGACATGTAGAAGATGAGACCTGCTGCATGGATACATGGAGTGTAAATGTTAAATAGGGATTATTGAAGAATAACATGCGAGTAGAGAATAGCAGCTCATAAAATCCCTGAGCTTTTATCCCATATAGCCATGTTTAACTTTGGATATGTATAGCTAGATTGGACTTAACCTGTGGAACAGATTTTACATGTTAGAGGAAAAAAAGGAACTAGGAATATGTAGGTGAATATATGATGGAACTTTCTAAGGGGAGGAAATGAGTTTGTTAAAAGAATGGAATATGCCACTGTACCTCAGCAACTAGAGCCTGCCTGCCTTGTTTTGTTCGTGTGGCACTGGGGCTTGAACTCAGGGTCTTGTGCTTGTTGGGCAGGTGCTGTACCACTTGAGCCACTCCACCAGCCAGCCCTAGAGCCTGCCTGTTCCTACAGTGGATTTATCTGCTAAGTCATTTTTTTTTTATTTGCTAAAGCTGCCAAATGGATTAAGAGCTATCTGAATTTCTCTCTCAGATAATTTCAGCAAAGAATGAAGGAAAGACAAGATATAGTTGGGCATTTTAATTTTCAGTTTAGATTAGGCATAGACATAATTTGCCATAAACTAAAATGGTATCTTAAATTTATTGGTTTTGAATTTATGGATTCTAAATAAAAATTTTCTTCCTTGAATAAAGGGAAAAATTATTTTCGTGCCATATATTATGTTTAAAGGACTGAATTAGGGAACTCATTAAAAATATATAGCCTATCTAGGAAGTTTAAGTATATGATAAATAGATTAGAAGCTCGGCTACTGGGAGAGTTTATGTGAAAAAATCACTCACTTCTGGTGGGACAGTCCAGGGAGCTTCTATTACTGGAGAATGTAATAGCAAGTAGAATTTTCAATTGCAGGTAGGAGCTAGCCACACAAAACTCACAGTTTGAACCATTGGAGGAAAAGTCTCCACAGTGTACTTGAAGAGCTACTTCACTTAACTTCCATGTGGTGGAGGGTCTGTTGTATTTGTTCTTCCTTGTTTAATAAACTGCTTTTTTAAAAAACAAACTTTGTATTAAAGTGTAACATAAAGTTTTACAAATTTTAGCTATGTGTTCAGTGAATTTTGGCAAAAGAATATGACCACATAGCCCACATCTCCGAGGGCTGGTCTTTGACTTGTCTCCAGCCCCTGTGGCCTAAAGAAAGGTACCAGCCTGCTCTTTCAGCACCGCAGTTTAAGTATACCTGCTGTTGAATTGATTTTCTTTTAAGCAGTGTTATGTTTATGAAATTCTCCAGTGTTATTGTTCCAAATATATTTGTATATTTTTACCAGTCCATAATATTCTATTGTGTAGGTAGAACACAATTTATGTATTTATTTTTTATCTTTATTAGTGTATATTGTGCAAAGAAGTTTCATTGTAACACTTCCATACATGTATATAATGGACTTTGATAAAATTCACCCACTCCGATTATTCTTTCTCATCTCCCCTGCCCCCTTTTTTTTTTTTACAATTTTAATTGGCTATCGTTACTATATTTTCATACATTTATATGAAGTACTCTAGTCATATTCAACCCCCCATCACCCTTGTCCTTTTGCTCTGTTCCCTTCCACACTTTTTCTTTATCCATTTATTGGTCAATGAGCACCTAGGCTGATTCCATACTTTGGCTATTGTGAATTGTACTGATTGTAAACATGCGTGTGCAGGTATCTCTGTTTATGCTGACTTACGTTCCTTTGGGTATATGCCCAGGAGTAGTGTAGCAGGAACATATGGTAGTTCTATTTTTAGATTTTTGAGGAACCTCCATACTGATTTCCATAGTGGCTATATTGATTTACATTCCCAGCAACAGTGTATGTGAGAGTCACTCTCCTGGTCCATCCTCACCACCATTTTCCTGTATGGCTAAGGGTGTTAAACATGTTTTTGTGTATTTTGTCCATTATATATTCTGGACACGACCTTCAGCCTGATGAATAGGTAGCAAAGATTTTTGTCCCATTCTGTTGGCTGTCCTTCATTCTGGTAATTGTTTCCTTTCTGTAGAAATTTTTAATTTGATGCAATCCCATTTATCAATTCTTGATCTTATTTCCTGAGCAATTGGAGTTTTCTTCAGAAATTCCTTACCTGTGCTTGTATCTTCCAGTGTTTTCCAGTAGTAGTTTCAAAGTTTCAGATCTTACATTAATGCTCTATGATCCATTTTAAATTAATTTTTATACAGAGATAGGGATCTAGTTTTAGTCTTTTACATGTGGATACCCATTTTTCCCAACATCATTTCTTGACTCTTTTCACCTTATGTTTTCATCATCATTGTCAAAAATCAGATGGATGCGCAGGTTTATTTCTGGGTCTTCTGTTCCATTGGTCTATGTCTGCTTTTGTGCCAGCACATTGCTGTATTTGTTACAATAGCTCTAATAGTACAATTTTAAGTCAGTTATTATGATACCTCCAACATTACCCTTTTTTGCTGAAGATTGCATGGCTTTTCTCCCTTTATTTTTTTCTATTGTAAATAGACATTTGAGTTGTTTTCTACTGGACATGATTATGGTGAATGCTGTTCTAAATATTCCTATTTTGGACATATAAACACCTGAGTGTTTACCTAAGAGTACAGATACTAAGTTGTAGGGTATACATGTCATTGGTTTTTATAACAGTTGACAAAAGTTTTCTAATGTGTTTGTACTAGCAGTATGTAAGAGAGTTCTAGCTGCTCCAAATCTTCACCAGTACTGGATGTTGTCCTTTTCATTTTAGTCACTCTAGTAGGTGAGCAATGGTAATTTGTTTTAATCTTAAGTTTCCATGATGTCTACTCTTCCATCGTATAACAGAAGACCCAGAAATAAACCTGCTCAGCCATCTGATTTCTGAGTAGCTGGGACTATAAGCTTGTGCCACCATATCCAGCTCAGTTTATCTTTTTGTTCTTTCCTTTATTGATAATGTTCTTTGTATCATATTTACGAAATCTTAACTTGCCACAAGTTGTGAAGATAATTATTCTAGGATATGAGGACAATCCAGTTGCACCATCTGGCACCCCATTGATCACCAGGGTAGATAGATGTGATTTGGCTGGCTAGGTGGGTGCCCCCTTCTTCCCGCACTGCTCCTGTGCATCCCTCCCAAAGCTGCATGCCTGGCAGAAGAGGATGCTCCTCCCTGGTAGAGGACAACTTTTCTTGGGTCAAGGGTATATGAGTAGCTGCACTCCCCTGCAGAACCTCCAGACAAGCTTTCAAGATAATTCTGTGCTTTCTTCTAGAAGTGTTTTTGTTTTACTTTCATGTTTTAGATCTGTTATCCATTTGGAATTTATTTTTGGGTATGGTTTGAATGGTTGGGGTCAGGATTTGTTATTTTCAGTTGATTCAGTACAATTTATAGCAAAACCATCCTTTCCTCATTGCCTTTGTCATGAGTTAAATGACCATATATGTGTGGGACTATTTCTCACTCTCTCATTCCATTTGATTATTTATCCTTGCTCGGTTCCATAGTATTTTAATTACTATAATTTAATTACTGTAATTATGGTGGCACAGTTCTCTGCCATTATATTTCTGTAGAAGTATCTGGTTGTTCTTAGCCCTTTTCTTTTCCAAATGAAACCACGTTAGTTAATGTTCACCCAACAGCAACCATCCAAATATCTTACTGTAATTTATTTTTTTTCCACTGAATGTGTGGACCTGTTTAGGGGGGATTGAAATCTTTACAATATTAAGTCTTATGACTTAATAATGAAACATGAATATGTTTACCTTTCATTTTCTTTTCAT